ACACACACACACACACACACACACACACACACACACACACACACACACACATATTATGTGCATATATACACACGCATGCACCAACACACACACACGTAGGTACATACACACACACAAACATATATACACACACACACACACATGTACATTATCAAACATAAAGATCAATATGACAACTAATAATAAATAATCACAGAGAGACTAAGGACACAAGGTGTAAAGACACCAGACATCTACCATAACAACATCCTTACCTTGATGGAGGTAGTAAGAAATCTCTTTTTCTCTCTAATCTGTCATTCTTTATTCCTCGAGCCAGAAACTAGCCAAAGACAAAAAATATCGAACGATGTAAAGGTCTGTCTCACACGTCAAATGCCTGTCTATTGAATGTGATGTCTGTCTCACAAATATGTCTGTAGAGTTTAATGTCTGTCTAACAAGTCAAATGTCTGTCTATAGAATATAATGTCTGGCTCACATATTAAATTAATGTTTGTCTCCAGAATTAAATGTTAATCTCATAAGTTAAATATCTCAATTTGAATGTCTGTCTCACAAATTAAATTTTGTTTCCAAAATTAAGTGTTAATCTTATATGTTAAATATCAGGAGTTAAATGTCTGTCTGACAAATTAAATGTTTGTCTATATAATTATCTAAATGTCAGATATGTCTTCCGAATTAAATGTCTGCCTCACAAGTTAAAAGTCTGTATCACAAATTAAATGTCTGCCATTGGATTTCATTGTATGTCTCCCGAATTAAATGTCTGCCTCACAGGTTAAAAGTCTGTCTTGCCAGTTAAAAATGCCTGAATCACCAATTAAATGTCCGTCTATAGACTTCAGTGTATGTCTCCCGAATTAAATTATGTCTGTCCAACAATTTCACTGTCTGTCTCCCGTATTAAATGTCTGTCTAACAATTTCACCGTCTGTCTCTCACACCTCCTGTCCTGGACAATCCAGACTCCCGAAGACACACACAATGGCCGGGCTAGTGGACAGTGGTCAATGAAAGAAGAGAGGTAAGACCTGGGTCTTAAACACGATTAGCGCGCCGGGGCTGGAAGCCAAAGAAAGATCTCCTCATTACACTCAGCGGGCCGGGAGAAATCATGGTGGGGACCACATACAGAACTGTGGCCTCTTGTTTGTGAGTGCGTCTGTGTGTGTGTGTGTGTGTGTGTGTGTGTGTGTGTGTGTGTGTGT